GTTTGTTTATGTATGCTGAGAGAGGGCGAGAGAAGCAGAGCAAAATAACAAGAACACAAAGTTCTTCACAAAGGACAAAATAAATCTATATTTCTGTTCAAAAGGGTGTTGTTAAAAATGTGTTTTTAGATTTTGCAGGTCTGAGTTTGTCGGGCAGGTTGTTCAGGTGTTTGTGCTGCTGAGGCGTTCTTCATTCTTCAAGCAGAATTGCAAAACGCTTTCATTTTCTAATATGAACATTTCACTGCACAGATACAATCAGTCTATTTCTGGGATATGCCTGATAACTCAAGTGCTCATGAATACAGAAAACATATCTTCCTGCTGACAAACACACACACACACACACACACACACACACACACAGTAGATAGTATATGTTGAGATTAAATCTGTATGTATCCACGGGCACCAAAATAACATTGTCCCCTTGAGACCGACTCTCTCACTGCTCTTCTAAATGAAAGATGATGACCTCGGACTAAACCAATCATCCGCAGTGATACTCATGGAGACACACAACGCACTCATTCATATTCCGCAAGCAATTTCACCTTTCCCTCCGAAACACTGTCAGACCCACACTCCGCAGAGCAGCTGAGATTTAGTCCAACTACCAGAGCGGTCCCCCTCCTCACCTGACACACAAACAGACTCTGGCGTTTCCCCATCACGCTGACAGATGCTCCTGATAGAGGATCTCATCTGAATTAGTTTGATGCTGTCGTCTCCAGGCTCAGCTGTTACAATCATTTTACTCACAGACCGTCTGTTTTTGTATTCTCATCCTCTGCGCCTGCCATTTGAATTCAAGTCAGATCTGAGAGTGTCTGTGTGTGTTGTGTGAACGATGAACAAACAGCGATCTTTCTCACCTTGTGGTTTAACACTGGAGAGTTGCAGGCCTGTATCATTCAGGAGGACCAGGGCCAAGGTCACATTGTGAAGCTGACGATCAGAGACAAACAGGATGAACAGAAAATCACATTTTGATTTCAGCCATATATCAGATATGATGATCACCCAACTAACTGAGATACAATATACTTCCTAAACATTTGATTTATAAACATGTGTCGAAATATCAAATATAATAACATAATAACAAATATAAAAATGTCTGTATTATCTTTGAGTCCCATCCTGTGAAGTAAAACAAACACCAGATATTATTTCATACAACATCCATCCATCGTTTAAGGGTTGCAGGGGCACTGGAGCCACACAGAAAGACAGCCACCAATCCAGGATTTGAACCAGTAACTTTGATGCAACAGTCCTCACAGTGATGACGTCATTCCTACTGTGTGATCATAAGTTATTTAAGCTCTGTTGGTCTATAGTCCTACAGGAAGCAGAGATACCTCGAAACATGCATCTGACGTCATTTTCGGACTTTTTTGTGATTGAGTTTTAATTCAAAGATAAACCAGGTGAGTCATTATTTATAGATTGGGTTAACATTGTTAGAACTGCCAGATTTAATATATTTGTAGAATCCATTATTAATGATGAACTAGGCTTATATATTATGTTTATAGCCAGAGGCTCTTTAGTTAGAATTAAAAAGTCTAAAAAGATGTGTCTCTGTGTCTCAGTGTCTCTGTACAATAAGTAACGAGCACATCACGAGTCATAACTTTTTCATAGACTCCTCCCACTGTATTGTACAGTAAAGATATAATTGAAGTGAGTCATGACTCAGTAGTAATTATGCATCTACTTTTATTATGGGGATAGTAAAATATTAACTGTATCATATCATTTAATGTAATGGATCAGGTTTCAGTTCTGTAGCTCATTATCCACGGAGCTCTTGTGGGAAATGAAATTAGCTGAAAGTAGAAATATGAAAAATGTGTTATGATCTTTTCTTTGAATTTGATTAATGGAGTATGTGTATGTCTGCACTTTCATAAAATATCAGCATAAGTGAATTCTGACTGGAATTGGTTTTTCTATTACGTGATTGTTTGTTTTTTTGAATAAATAAATAAATCAAATATAAAACACATGTCTGTGTGTGTGTGTGTGTGTGTGTGTGTGTGTGTGTGTGTGTCTCCAGTAAAAATATACCACTTCTCTTCTGTGATGCGTCCGTACCATTTCAGATTGATTGACAGGGGTCAGTTTGAAGTCACAGAGTGGGATGAAGAAGCCTTCTAACTGTCCAATCAGCAGCAGCAGGATGACGCCATCGGCAAACTGCACAGAAAACCACAGAAGGTGAAATCATCTCAGGGGAAGTGGTTTATTATTATTAGTTTTCAACTGCTGCTTTTCTTATGACCTGTTTGTCCATATCAGCGACCTGCAGACCCATCGACGCCATGGTCTGGTTGACAAAGTGTAAAATGGCCTGAAAACAAAAGAAATGAAATAAAGCAGGAGTTCAGACGGTTTGAAATTCAACTTGAGCTTATTTTGATGAGATTTTAAGATACCTTAAATTTAATGAAAGCAATAAGTCAGTTTACAGCTGAGCCAAAAAAACTGACCGAGTAACTTATCAAACAAAAAGAGTCTACGTTGATGCTAATTTCTGATGTTTATACTGAGACCAATTGAGTCCCGTTGACACTTTGAGTTATTTTTAAACAGCGGCTTAAAATGACATGTGTTGGTCAATTTGCAAACAGCCATACATGTTTGGTTCATATTTATAAACCACATTCACCGGCTTTTTATTGCAGGTCGAGGTTATGCTCAGAGATATGATGCTGATTTATTTCCTGTCTTAACAACCACTACATCTGCTCTTTGTGTCAGCTGGGATGAAAGTTAAAACCTTAAACTACTTCAGCACTTCTCCTCTCACTATTATACCTTCTTCACCGTGTTGACCTTGTGAGCCTCCAGCCTCAGCAGTTGTTCAATGGGATCGTCCCCTGGGAGAGCAGAGAGCAGACAGAGAAGTGTGTTAGGTCATTGTCGGCTGTAACGCTGTTTGGATGACATTCAAGATGGTCGCATCGACTCAGCCTCTGACCACCCTTACTCACTTTCAGAATTGCTGAGGGAGTCTGAGCCTGAGTTGCTGTGGAAGAAGCCAAACAAATATGAGCTGAACTGTTTTTCTCCTCATCCACAGAATCTCACAGGGTAGATATCTACTTACTCAGGCCGATCATCTGTCAAGACTTCTGTCTGTACTTCGGATTTGATTCCACCACTGTTGACCTGCATGGAAATTAAAGTTTACTGTAATATAACAGTGACTCTGCATTGTTTCATGATATGGTGCAGAAAATACAAGAGTGCTGAAGCTCGTGTTGAAACTCACTTCCAGTGACACGACTTCAACCTTCACATTCGGAGGCAAATCCAGTTCAGGCTGGAAACATCTCACCATGGCAACCAGCAAATGAATCGTAGCCAGAAGGTCTTTGTTGTGGATGACTGACAGACAAACAACAGAGACCACAACAGACACACACACACACACACACACACAAACACACACACTGACATATCGTTAGAATTTTCATTAAATCAAAAAAATCAAACCTTGTTTTTTATATTATTTATGGTAAACTTTCCAGTGTTATCGATCACTCATAGTGCTTAGAAGCCAGATTCACCCCTTCACACACATTCATATTCGATATGCTGCCTTTTTTCTCGATCACACACTGCTGGCACAGCGGTCACACAAAATTTGCGTTCAGTATGTTGCCCATGGACCCTTCAGCTAAAGAGGTTCAAACCATTGCTCTTCTGGTTAGTGGACGACCCGCTCCAACTCCTGAGCCACAGCATTTTTTTCAGCTTTAGTCTTTTAATGTCTATGTTGTGAAATTACAGTTCTTCTATATACCACTTCTTATTATTAGTGGTGGAGCGATCGAAACTTCAGAGATACATGTAGTAGAAAGAACATTTTTTTATTTATGACACAGTTCACTTGGTGATACAACACAGTCTTGTCGTTCGTGCACCTTGTTAATAGAACTGCACTCACTCTATGTAGTATTTTTGTCAGCATGATTATTACTGACGTGATTATTCATCAATAATGCTTTAACAAAACATGTTTATTTTCGTCCCTCTCTTGAGGGCAGAGAAGTTCATTAAAGCAATTTGAGTTTATCAAGTCACTGTAAATGAATTAATCAGTTACTGCTCTGTTGTTGCTGCTGCTCAGAGTTTTCTTATACCAGTAAAAACCAGTAAAACATGGGAGCTACCGGATCAATATGATGAAATTTAAATATCCCAGAATTTGAAAAAAAAAGCATTTTCGCAATTTCACAAGAGCTGCCTGAAATCATGTGGTTTGAATCTCCTTGTTTTCCATCCATTTAGAGTTTAGCAATTTCAAAAATAAAGACATAAATAATAAAAATCAATTGTGTGTTCAAGCTGCTCGGATTCAGCTGGTCTGTTTTTGTATCTCAGAATAAAATCAAAGCTCCAAAATGTTGGAATTGGATTGTTGAAATTCAAACTGCATGATTCAAAATCAATCAATAATCTGGGAATGTTTACTGTCCTATCAGGTGAAGGTGTTCAGTCACATGATCCAGAAGAAAAAAATCAAATGAGCAACCAGAGACCCTGGACTGAATTGAAATTCTCAGTCACAATTGTTATGGTTATGCATGATTTCTTTGCTTCCATAACCCAGCACGAGTAAATAATCCACTGAGAGACAATTAAAACAGAACCTCCAAACGTTTGCACATTTAATCCTCACCATAAACCCCCTCAGATGGTCTGAACTAACACAGGACTCTCATGCTTTAGCACCAAATCCTGTTGTAATGAGAACGCGTTGCCAGGACGGAGCATTTGTTCACTTGTTGCTTTGCTGGTGGAGGCCAGTGTATTTGTGTGACTCACGTTGGATGTTCCATTTGATCTGGCTGCCGTCCTGCGGGCCCAGTCTCCTGTCCAACTCCTCCAGGATCAGTTCCAGCTTGCGTATCTGAGCGGCACTGGTCAATGCTAACTCCTCCACAGGCACATGCACATCGGCCAACGTGGCTGGAGGCAGGAAATGATTATTTGTAAGGTCAGACATGTGCTGTGGATATTTGAGCTGACAGCGTTTAGGAGAACACGTAAATGGGAAGTACTTGTTAGTTTTTAATGGTCTAATTAATAAGTGAAAGTGTGTTAGTGTTAAATGTGATATTAAGGCTGACAGTGCGATCATACAAATGTGTATTAACTCACACAGCAGATGATGAAGCACCAGTCCATCGTACAGATCCTCCTGCAGATTCTGAACCACTATGTGCTCCGGTTTCAAAGTCCTATTGATCCAATCAACTAATGCCTAACAAGACACAATTCATCACACAGCCAGATACATAAAACACTTTCATCCCCTCTCATACATTTTCTGTTCCCATGCAGCAGATGAAAAACAGCATGTACCCTCATTTAAAAAAAAAAACCTTTCTGATCTATTTCCAGAGATGATATGATGCTGAAGTAGATGGAAAATGACACTGTGCACTGTGTGCTTCCCCCCGAAAATAAAAAATAATTATATTGTGTTTTTCCTCCCAAATCTACATATTGCACCCGCCAGGCTTATATTGGGTTATTTACTCATTCATTGCCACTCACACAAAGCACTTGAGCTGCTTTCCTTTCCAATCAAAATGTGTTTTAAAGTCCGACTCTGTCTGCTGCTCGCTGCTGTTCTCATCTGTCTCCCATCACCTCTAATAATTATGCTCATTAAAGTTTCATTGATCCTTCCACCTTTCACCCCCCCCCCCCCCCCCCATCAGATATTATTCATGCTCCTCACTGCACACACATACATGCAGGCCCTGTGATGTATTTTCCCTGTATGATTTTCCAGCTCACTAAAGACGTACAGGAAGTGTTGCATGTGTGTTACAGTAAATGTTGAACGGAGGACAGAGAGACGGAGGTCTATAGATAACAGGAAGTCATCTCTTACATCCATCAGCTTCCCAAGCTTGGGGTCTTTTAAAGACGTCGGCTGAATGAGCTTCCTCTTCTCTCCTGTGTGAAGATAAACAATCTTATTTATATCTTATCAGTGTTGTGACTGTAGGATGAAGTTTGTTACTGTACAGGTTTACTTTACATTTACACTGGCTATGTCTGAATTGTATTTGTCCACTCAGTCATTTCTACACAATATGAAATCCAAATAGCGGAGTTATGAAATGTGCAGGACTTTCATTACCAATTCATTCAATTTTTCATTAAATCAACATCATGTTTTTTTTATTTTCATTTTTATTAATATTTCAGATATTTTAGTGTCAAGACCAGTTATACAAGTATGAAAACATTTGCAGGGCCACTTGATGGAATAAAACCCTGAGATTTAGAGAAAAAGATAGGTGAAAGGGATCTATCGGCAGTAATTGAATATAAAATAAAACGAGTGATATTTTCACTAGTGTGTTTCATCTAAATTGTACGAATTGTTGTTTTCTTTACCCTAGAATGGGCCCTTTATATTGAAATACTTTATATTTACATCAGGAGCGGGTCCTCTCTACGGAGGCCGCCATGTTTCTACAGTCGTCCAAACACAACAAACTAAAAACATTTTGAGTTTTAATGACAACTGAAGGCTACCACAAGTTCTCTTTTCAGGTTTGGAAGGGGAGGTTGAGGTGAGGGGTATTCAGCTGCAACATGCAACTTCACCACTAGAGGTCACTAAATTCTACACACTGTACCTTTACTTTTCACAAATAATAACGTCATGTTTTGGCTCATCAGTACAATGTTATCATAAGTATCAGGACTTTGAAAAGATTGTGTAAGAAATTGTCTCTATTCTAAAGAAAGAAACAAATGGACTTGGAGGAAATTGACTCTTGTTGAGAAGGAAATGTTTGGTAGTGGTCGACTGTAAAACTTTGGTTATATCTATGTGTTATTTAATTGGTTTCATAGTTTGTCAAGAATCAATGAGACTGTTTCAAGATTTTGATTCCAGAAGGAGTGAAACTCTTACTAGAAAGTAAATATAAAATCTACTTAATTCAATTTAAATAATAATAATAATAATTTAAATATTTTCATATAATAGGCCTAATCCTTTTTACAATGTAAAATTACTAGATAGAAACACAAAAAACTCTGCACTACCCAGGTTTTTAACCTCTTTCAGCTCTTTGTTTTGATTTAAAAGCTAACAACTTTATTTAAAGTTTTTACTTTCACATGCAACACTCAGGTATCTTGTTTCTAGATGCAGTGAGCTGTTTTCTCACAGAAAGCTCAGATAAACCCAGCGAGTGTCTCACATACAGAATGAACGACCTGCTGCTGGGTGAACATGAGAGAACTGAACATTTGAAAATGCAGATATTTCCCTCAGGAAGTGGTTAGAAACAAAAGCTATTTCAATTCATGAGGTTCCCAGAAACACAAATGAATGCTGATGTTGTTCACAGGCTGCAGGATGTGTAATTTCACAACTGTTTGCTTAAGTCAACCACAACAACTCACGACATGTCAGTGTCGTGTTTAGAGCAGATTTTCACCAATAGATACTGAACTATTGGACTATTGGACACTAGTGACTGTGAGGGTTAGAAAAACACACTCAGTGGTCAGTTCATTAGGCACACCAAATTAAAAGTAATAACTTAATATTAGTAATGTTCTGTAATGTAGTTAATTGTCACTGCAGGTTGTCTTACTGTTGAATCAACAGAGGTGTTTCTAATATTTAGTCTATTCCACTTTTAAATGTTCACAGTCATACTGAGGCTAGACTAAATATTTGACACCTTCTCCTAGTTCTCGAATAAATATTGAAATGTCCATGTCATAATAGTACAGTTTGCTGTGGTGTAAAGATCGATTGATTTAACATGTGAACACGTGAAACCTGTGACAGGATATTCAGCAGCTCACTAAATGCATACACACCCTGGAAATACTGAGCGTCCACTGCTTGCTCCTCTCTGTAACTCTCAAAGATGTCCGCCTCCATCAGTCCTCCTCAAGACGAGGTATACCTGTCCAAAACAAACCTGCAGAGGAGCCAGCGGTGCTTCGACACACTGAGAGAAGAGGAAGTGCTTCAATATAAACACAGCAGGATGAAGAGACACTCTTTCCATCAACCTGATGGCAATAAAGTCTCTGTCTTTCTCTCTTTCAGCAGGACACACTGACCAGAGGCGGAAGCACTGATTGCACTGACAAGAAAGTCTTGTTTATCCAATTTCAGACACTAAGGGGAGAGTCTTCAACCTTCCCCAGTTATAATCCAAAACTACAGTTTCTACAGTGTGGTTTGAAAGGACTGAGGACATTTTTAAGTTTCTGCAAGAGAACAGAGAAGCCAAGTGAAACTCAAGTTAAAGAACCTTTAGTTTCTTCACTTCCTTTCTCTTCGTTTTCACTCAGCATCAATAAGCAGAGCACTGTAGATCCCTGAAGATTTGCATGGGCTGCACCTCTTCTCCCTTCTGAACATTTTGAATCGTATGATGAAGCTCAGCAAACACAAAGTAATGCAGCCGTGACCTGGAGAGTGTCAAACTGTTGTTTCCTGCATCTGGAGGAGACAAAAACTATTTTTGCTCCTCTTCCTCTGTCTGTTTTATCTGCGTGTGGCTTCCTTTTCCTGCAGTTGACAGTAACATAAAACACGGTCGTACACAAGAAGTTTGAATGAGCTTGAATGAGCTTACCTTCAGCTCCGACTTGACAGAATCAGGTGACTTCAGCTGCACCGAGATACTTAACTGATGTCAAATCCACAAACCGTCAAAACACTGATATGAGAAGCTGTGCTCAATCTGAATGGAGGCTGTTGTGAATTTCAGAAATGAGAAATGACTGACTGCACTCATTACAAACTGTGCATGACTTTGATAGCAAATCACATGGGTTGAAAAGGAAGCTCAAATAAGGATGTGGCAGAAAAGTAGGTAGCACTTCCTCTGTCTGAGGCTTTGCAGCAGAGCGTTCCCTGATAAGGGCGTTTATGTTCTGTGAAGCGTTCCGCGTTCGAGACTTTGATAATAAGCATTTGTCAAGGGGATCAGAAGAAGGAGGACTCTTTGGGTACAAATGTATTGTTTGACAAACCACACACTTCAGAAGGTGCAGAGAGAAACGTGACATTTGGAGGTCTCAGCCACTCGGGCTCGACTCACACGTCTCCATCTGTGACCGGCCGGACCCGTTTGCTGTCATCTGGTCTCTCCGTTCTCCGATTAACACACACAGACTCACAACGGCAACTGAGGGGAGAAATAGAGACAGAGACAACAAAACAACAAGCTCTCTCTGTGTTTGTGTGCACGCCGGCCTTGTTGAAGAAAAGAAAAAGGACCACCCATCTGCCATACAAAAGGGGCAATTTGGTGGATGTGGAGGGTTACCATAGCAACAAAAGAAAGAGACAAGAAAATAAAGGCCTAAAATAAGCCCATAATTACTTTAGCTAAACCCAAATTGCAGGAATTGCCAGTTCCAAAGCCAATCTCGCTCAAAAGCCAAAGCAAATCTTACCTATCGAACGAATAGGGGATGAGATGAAATTCTCCTTCTGTTTGATTCTAGGCATTTATTTCATGATAAAACAAACAGGGGTGAGACATCCAGTGCTGGCACAGTCCAGATTGACTTATCCACTCTTAATAATTCAGTCTGGCTCTAAAATGCATCCTAGCAAGTCTCCAGGTGGCACTGTGGGTCCAGGCTTCCCCTGGGACATACTCTGAAAGGCCGGTCAATATGAAGGTACTCTGACTGTTCTCCTGGGACGACGAGAACACGCTGCACTAAAGGCAGAAGGCAGCAGGAGCAGCTTGTAAATATGGCCTGGGATGTGGTGTGCACAGTTCAGAGTAAAGAGGAACAGGTCGCAGTCTCCTCGGTTACTCAGAAATAGTTACAGTATAAATAGCCAACCACATAGACTGCATCACTAGTGGATGTACTGACTGCCTCAAGTTTTGTCTCACTGTCATTGTGTTTGTGTCTAATTGTTCCTATATAGTTTTATTTTATTCAAGTCTTGTTTTATTCTAGTCTTGTTTTATTCTATTCCTCTTACCTGTAATTATTCTGCACTTGGGCTCTTATGTTTTTTATCTCAACATTGATAGTTTACGCAAAAATGAAAAAGAACTCATTATCTATACACTCACCACTATGCCAATGGAGGGGTGGGTGAAGTGTTTGAGTCCACAAAACACTGTTGGAGTTTCAGGAGTAAACAGCGTCGCAACCAAATCTAATACGATTGAAGTAAATGGTGACCACTTCTTCAAACGTAAAAAAAACAACAGAAAAAAAAGCTGAAGTGCCCGATACTGCTCCTATGGTGTCATTCAAGTGTCCGTACATTTCAATTCGACATTTCTTTCCACCATGTTTTTAGCCTAAATGTCCACTGTTCTCTTAAATCCTCCTAGTTACTGCTGCAGCTCTATCGAGAACCTGCGATAGCTGCACTCATTCGGCTCAGTTCAGGCCCCATGAGATGAACCCAATCGACTAACACAAGGTTTTATGGTTGTTGTGTGTGCATGGGCCAGATATGACTGATAATTATTATGCAGGAAATTAATAAGAGCAAATGATTATTTATGATTTAACAAATCATCTGACATAAATCTCAATAACCCAAAACAGGATTCCAAGCTACATTGGTTTAAATCCAGGTTTCTGTTTATACTATGTCCCATTCATTCAAGTTGTTCTATTTGTTTGTCTTTTTTAATTCACAATATTTAGCTAACATTTGAAATCACTATTATTTCTACAAGTTGAACTCAACCCCCATTATTTCCTATATGTTGTGGATCTCTTGGGACAGGGGAGAGGTGGAAGCAGTACATTTTAAAAGGAAAATTACAGAATATTTCAGTGTCTATGAAATATAAAACTTCCGTATGTCTGATGATTTGTACTGACTGACTGCCATGGAAGTCATGGAGACACGCTGAGAAATATTTCTTTGTTTTGCATCAGCCGTGCCTTTCTCTGGCTCAGGAATCTGATGTGAAATGAAAGAGTTGAATACTTTCAGGTGTTTATTATGCTTATGGTTCATATTGTCTTTTCTTGCAGCCATTCTGACTCTTATATGTTGAACAGCCAAGCTCCCAGCAGATAACTCCTGTACTGTGGACCATGGGAGGGACACAACAAGAGTTTGGCCCCTACTGTTTGGTGTGAAACGTGTTTGATGACAGAGGGATGGTGTCTGTCTTTCATTCTCGGTCTCTCTATCAATTGTATGTGTTGAAATCAGCCAATCAACCTTGTGATTTCCCATGTTGCAGCTCTGCAAGATGGCCACTGCTGCAAAAATAAAGCATGGCCTTTTTTTACCTCTGCCAGGGAGGTTACTTTTGATTCTTTGTCTGTTTGTCAGCAGGATTACGCAAAAACTACTCAATAGATAACCACAAAACTTAGAAGAATTGGATGTGGACTTCGGAGAATAATTTTGTCGTGTGCTGCTGCTGCTGTAATGAGTGGCATTCTAGTTTATTTTATGTTTTTACATTATCATGCTTGTGTATAACTGTTGCTCAGCCTGTCCTACTGTTCAAAAAGACTATGGAGATGCTGTAAAGAAGTGAATAAGCATGTCAACCATTTTTGTATACCAAGCTTTATTAGACACTATATAATATATAACAAAATCTTCCTTAAATAATCTGAAGGATATATATATATATATAATTGATGCAAATTTTGTCAAGTTTTGACAGTTTCTACATGCTCCCCTAGTACATTTTGTACATACATGTACATTTCTACCTGTGACAGCTGTGTATTCAAATGCAGGGATAAAGGTTGCACAGTTTCCTGTGTTGCAGTTAAGGACAGAAGAAAAATACTGACATTTAGGGAAGATATAAAACACACAGAGCCCTTCTCAGGCTGCTCCCCTGTGTCTTTTTAAGTCACACATAATGACCTTCAGTGCCAGTCGGCCTCCAGTGTCCAGACTGTAACATATAATATCAGCACAGTGTTCAGAGTGGTATCAGCAGGCAGCAGCGGACGAGTTCACTCAGAGTTTTTGTAGTTGGTGAACAGGTTGTAGAGAACTCTGAGGGTGGACTTGAGGTTCAGGTTGACAACATCTGTAAAACAGAAAATGAGACAAAGCAGAGCTCATTGGAGTTTTTCCAGACTGCTTTTAAGGAGTTTCACAATACTTAGATCTTTGACAAAAATTGGATCCTTGGAGGAAAGAAAAACTGAGAAAAACATTATTTAAAATACAAAGCAGACTTCCGCTATGATTGCTGTTGAACGACTTTCCATCAAAAAATGAAAATGAAATGGAGCTCAAAATGAAATGGAGCTCAAAATAGCTCCAAAGAAATGATGTATTACTTCTCACCAGTAGAGACTGAGAGGCATGAAAACACTTTGTTCCCTCTCAGTACCATGGTGTTCTACACAAGTGCTTATTGCTCATTGTAATTTCTCATTACGTCCAGGTCTATTTAAAGTGATTCCAGCCAGACATCATTTGTTACAGCGGAGCCACTGCATCAACATCTAAACCAATGTGCCCTAATCTCCTTATCTTCTGCATTCCCCTGTTAGCCAGGGTGACACTGTTGATATCATTAATGGCTCTCTGCTTTCATTTATAATGAGAGTGCACATGGACACAAACCCAGGGCTGATCACAAACATATATACTTTACTAGAAGAGCAGCTACGAAGCTAACAGCTGTAATGTTTTCACTCACTGCAAAACCCTGAATACTTAAAGAGGTTTCTGTTTTGGGTTGATCAGGTAAATGTTAATTAAGTCCTGAGATCCGTAACGCTTTTGAAGTGACATTGAAGCGTGGGGCGAGTCAGCTTGTTCTGGCACAAGATTCAATGATGCATAATTCAACGTTATGTGCAGTGAAATGGTTGCAATGCTCTTTAGATGGTATAGTGTACGCATAATGAAATAGAGAAATATATTAAGAAATGTGTTAAAAATAGGATTTATTTAATACATAAAGGCACATTTAAAACAGAAAAGAGCAAAAAATGTCATATAAGTTAATAGCGAACATGGTATAGTGAATATGGAGCAATATGACAATGCACAACTAAATTTAAATGTGGATGATTTAAAGGACAAATACACATGAAAATGTGAAGTATCTGTGATACATACACTATAAGAGGGTATTATACTGTTCAATATATTGAGTAATATATGGAGTTCAATATAAAGGCTTAACCGTAGTATCCTAAGACGTTTGTAGCATTTGTCTCTTATGTGTGCAGTACTTATACTGAATTTTGGAATTTCTCTTTAAACTACACAACAAATAAATCTGATTTAAAAATCTAAAGTGTCAATATAAAATTCAGTGGATTAAAGTGAGAGGCCATATTGGAGCATTTCTGTGAAGTGAGATACAGATTATAGCTTGACAGGTTAATGTTTTAAAGTGTGTGAAATCACACATTCTGAAGGTGTGAGTACTATGAGTTTTTGTCAAAGTATTACAACATGAAGCCACATATTTCAATTCTTTGTGTACACACTTCTCTCTTCAACAGGGTACAGACTGGACAACAGCTGATGGATACATGAACCCAGCACCATCCCTCCAGAGTTAGTTTCAAGATAAAGCAAGGTTTCCATCTACTGGACAAACTTTAGAATGCCGGTCACCTCAACCATTCATTTCCTTTATCACAGTACAAGTGAGACACATGATCTCACTCTGTCTCCAGAAAATCTTCTCCAGAAAATTAACTCTAAATGTATTTGATCTGATCTTGTAATAGTGTGATGTATTTATGTTAGTAAATTACCTTCTGGTCTGGCTTTGGGTTTCTTCAG